TTTTGCATTTTTATTTGAAATAAAAATTTTATTGTTTATGCTATTTTATGGAATTTTATGTTGTGAATGATGTAATGAATGACGTCACAAAATATTTTAAAAGTAATTGGTTTTAATATCTATAAATTTAATCTAATGTTTTAAACATTATTTATGGCTGTTAAATATTAAAAGACAATTTAATTTTGCATTTTTTAAAAATATGATTTTATTATGAATGATTATTTAAATAATTTTAATTTTATACGTGATGTAATCAGCTCCCTGATTGGTTATTGAATATTTGTGCATTACCGCGCCATTTTAAAATTTTATTATTCATCTCTTCGAATTCCTCACATTTCAAAGCGAATGGATGTGTCCGTTTCGAAGATGAATGTTGTTATTGGTATTTACCAAGAATTATTGGTATCGGAATGAAAAAATTGCCGTTTGAGACCTTATTTTGGCCAACCTTGCTTTCCTAATCAAAGATTTATTTATAAATTGTTAATAGCGTCAGAGGAAATTTATTTTAAATTTTCGGAGAAAACCTCACTAATTACTTCTTCAATGAAGTGTGAAAGATGTGGATCACACACATAAAGATTTTTTTGTGGTACTTATTATCATATACGAAAGGTTAAAAATGTAACTACATAATTTTTCTTTTAACTTCATAATTGTACTTCAATTTTTATTAAAAATTAATACAATGTTTTTCAAAAATTCCTGAGATATTTATTGTCGCAGATATGTTTTAATGTTAAATAATTAAATCCTATAAAACTTATTTTAAAGTATTTAAGTAATATTTTAATTCTTTTAAACGTTGTTATGATGTTTTTAATTCGATATTCAATTAAGTAATATTTAATCCAATAAATGTTGGCGCAATGTTTTTTATAGCGGTAATTTTATTCTATTATGAAAGTAATGATTTAACCTTACTTTTAGCATTTTATACTCTTAGTAAATGTTTTAATTTGCCAGCCATCTCAAAACAAAAAAAAAAAAAAAAAAAAAAAAAAAAAAAAAAAAAAACGTTTTCAAACAAAAAATTATTCAATTATTTTTAACGATATTTATTATTTTTTTTTTTTTTAAGTTTCGAATACTTTACTATATGCGTAAAATACGTAAAAACAGCATTTTTCAAGATGGCTGACGACTGTAAAAACCGCGGCACTGCCCCGTACAACCAATCATATGCGGCGATTACCAAGAGCAACCCAAAGACGGTTAACGACAGGAAATCCTTCAAGAATAATAAGAAATCTATAAATAACGATAAAGAAGATCAATCCTCCAAAAATAAACGAAAATCAGTAAACACAGACACAGAAGAACAATCCTTTGAAGAATTCACCGGGTTCATTACTGAAATTTACCAAATTTACCAGCAATACAAGCAGGCTTCTAACCCCGACTCCAGGCTCAAGACTGCAATGACAGCACTAAAGATATTCATCCAGAACGAGCATGAATAATTACGCCCATACGGCTAATCCAAATACCATGCAACATATTAATTATGCCAAGTTTATGTTTATAATAGTAATGGTATTAAAAAAAATCAAAAATTGAAATTCAAAACTACATCAACCAGCACAGTCTGGATGTATTTTATTAAGTGAAACCCACCTCAAACCGAATGACAAATTTAAAATTCCCAACTACAACATCTATAGATCTGACCGTCTTCATAACCGTGGTGGCGGTACAGCTATTCTCATGAAAAAATGCCTAAAAACAGTACCATCTTTCCTCTTCCCCTTATGAATTTTGAAGCAAGTGCATTTATTTTGAACAGTGACAATAAAGAATATCTCATCATTGCTGTTTATAAGCCACCCAACAATAGCCTCAACACTCAAGATCTTGACTATATTCTCAACTTAGGTTATCCAACTATTATTGCTGGGGACCTAAATTGTAAACACGTTAACTGGAACTTCAGGCGAAATAATCCAGACGGAATTATTCTTAATAATTACATCATCAACAACCCTGATATCAACATTTATGGTCCAGATGAACCTACGCATCTTCATCAAATCTCAAATACTTCTGATGTATTAGACATCTTAATTACCTTCAATGTTCCTCAAATACCTTTTCTCCAAGTGGATAATGAACTTTCTTCAGATCACCTACCAGTACGCTTCACTTTATATGGCTTAAAGCATGGTCTTCCGCCTATAAAGTGTCGCATTAATTGGGAAAACTATGCTTATCACCTTGAAGAAAACATATCTGCTACCACTAAAATGACTAATAACAGCGAAATTCATGATGCCACAGTCTATCTTAGCAGTAAAATCAACGAAGCCATCAACCACGCCAAATTTATTCCAAAACAGACTAATTATACGCTCCCACACAATATTAGACAGAAAATTACAGAGAAAAATAGACTAAGAAAAATTTATCAACGTTCCCACTCCATCCAAGACAAAAGAAGATTTAATGCTGCCAATCGAAACCTCAGAAAACTTATTTAAGAGTACAGAAACAATTGCTGGGATAACTTCATTGAAAGTCTTTCGCACACCGACCACTCTGTGTGGAAAGTTGCTAAAGCTATCCGAAGCACTCCCTCCAATATTGGACCCATTCTAGATGATAATAATACCAAAATTTACGATCATAAGAAAATTGTCAACCTCTTCGCTGATAACTATGAACAACAGTTTAATATAAATAATTTCCCACACCCGAATGATATCAATATTATCAATCACGTGACCGATTTCCTCTGCAAAGATCCTGAAAATCAAAACAACCCGACTTCTCCCAAAGAAATACAGAAAATTATAAAGAAACTTAATCCAAAGAAAGCATCTGGATATGACAATATCACTAATAAGGCCCTGCAATACCTCCCAAAGAAAGGCATCGCCCTTATTACAAATATTTTTAACGCATGTTTAAGATTTAATACATTCCCAAAAAATTGGAAACACGCCATTCTAACTGTCATTCAAAGCCTGGCAAAGCTGGAAATCTCACAAGTAACTTTAGACCGATCAGTCTTCTGCCTGCAATTGCCAAACTTTTCGAAAGGCTTATCAAGTCTCGACTCACCACTTTTATTAATGAAAATAACATCATCAAAGACCATCAATTTGGATTTCGCCAGGGATTCTCAACGACTCAGCAGATCGCCCGAATCGTAGAATTCATAGGTGAAAATTTTAATAAAAAGGAAGTAGTCGCTGCTATTTTTATGGATTTAGAGAAAGCCTTCGATAAAGTTTGACATCCCGGTCTTATCATCAAGCTGATGAACTATAATTTCCCACCTGCCCTCATACATCTAACCTCTGATTTTTTAAAGAACAGAACTTTTCAAGTTAAGATTCAAGATAAATATTCTACCACAAGAAAAATTCACGTGGGTTTACCACAGGGGTCGGTAATTTCCCCGCTTCTCTATAATTTATATATTAATGATCTTCCTAATATTGAAAATATTCTCACTGCATACTATGCCGATGACAAGGCACTTTTATGTCACTCACTTAATCATGCAAGAAATAAACTACAGAATGCCATTAATTACATTTCACCCTGGTTTAAAGGATGGAAAATTAAAAAATTAACCCGAAAAATCAAAAAGTGATTTACTTTAAAAAAAGGAACTATCCCTCAAGACTTAGAAGAAATTACTAATGGACGGACAAATCGTGTCACGTGACACCAAGTAAAATATTCTAGGTGTTTATCTCGACCAGAAGTTAACTTTCTAATTTCAAATTTCATGTTAATTATATCAGAGACAAAGCACAATGTGCCTTAATGAGCATTATACCCTTCTGATGTGCAAATATTCGAAGTTAAATATCAACGCTAAAAGAACACTCTATCTACAGGCAATCCGACCCATAATTCTATATATGCCGCCTCCGGCGTGGGCAGCTAACTGCACGTTCAAACAGAGCAAGGCTTCAAAGTTTTCAGAGTAAAACTCTCAGATTCCTATCGAACTCTCCGTAGTTCGTTAGGAACACTGTCATTCCATAATTCTCTAAAGATTTTACCATTAGATGCCGAATTACTAAAGATTACATTCAAATTCTACGAAAAATGTGATTCCTTCCACTCACGAAGTTATTAAAAACATAGGGGAGTACGACTATCTATCTAATCGAACAGCCGCATAAACGGCCCAGAACTATACATCATAATGTTAGATTTTAGTTCTTGTATATATTTTATTATTTTCAACTATTTAATCTAGATTTTGTTTCATTTTTATCATCATTTTCATCTTACTATTGTACGATTCTGTGTCAAATCTACGATAATGTGTAAAAGATATGCCAAAAAAATTATTAGTTGCTATTATAGCTTATCCATCGAAGACTTCATCTGTAGCCGATATATGGCGCCACCCCTGACCAACTTCTTCACTTCTGAAGACTTTGCACTTTTATTACAAGTGCACAGAACTTTTCCAGTTTATGGAGTTTAACGAACTTTTACAGGTCCTTAGGGGATTGATAAACATGTAGCGGTAAAGGTTCTCGGGTCGAACACCACTTAACGAATGATGATCTCCAATCTCCGATCTCCGCCAATGTAAATCGCCAAAAATCCGTGCAACCGTCTACCAAAGTAGTACCGTCAATCGGGTAAATCGAACGCATAGCTTCAATCACGAAAAATTCGTTGCCGAAGCAGACAAATTCGACTTATTTCATCTAAATACGCTTCAGCTAAAACTAATATTTTTTTATTGCCGGAATGTAACAATCTGTTTATTTAACGCAACGATCTGTTTACGTCCGAAGTGTGTTGCCAACACAAATTGCTTTATAGGCTAGATTTCAATAAATAGAATGCAAGAAAATGCTAGATAAGGGGAAAAATTCCTACTCATTTAACTTCTTGTAATTATCTATTTACTATATTCCTACTCTTAATGCACAGATATGTTAGGTACTTTACTATTATCCTGTCTATGTAAATATTAGTGTTAAGAAAGCAACAGTCTGGCATCACCAATTTTACTGATTTTCTTTTCCTGCATTTGGTGACACCAAAATTGTGGGAAGTTTATTTCATTCGGCGTGTTGCTGTGTTTTTCCTTTGCTTTGAAAAAAATAAAAACTTGCAAAATAAAGCAAGAATAGTTCATAAGATTTAAACTGAAATATGTCTTCGTAAGTACTTTCTTCAGACTTTTTTAGTTCTTTTATCTTCTGTTCAGTAGAAATGTTGGTTTTACCGGCATTTTAAAATTCTGAACGTGGTACTATATGAAAAATTGTCCAAAGATATACGAAGCAGCTTTTTTTCGATCAAATAATTATCGGTGATTTAAAATATGAGCGATATTTGTGTAATAATAAATGTAATTCGTATATTATTAGCAGTTAATTGATATTTTGCAGTCTGATACAGTTTAGATAAATCTTTCAGAAGGTTAAGAAATAAGCGATTGGTTTCAAACGTAAAACAGAATGTATTGCATGCATATTACAGTAATAAATATGTACCTACTTGTTTGAAATTTGGCATAGTTTTGACACCTGACTGTCTTGAGACAGAGACTAGTAGCTCAGTTTTATTTCTAAAATAAGAATATTGTTTTGATTTACAGAAGAATTCGGGTATTCCTGAAAGGAGGAGGAAAAATTTAAAACCTTGCTTTATGTCTCTCTCCCCGTAATAATCTTTCAACTGCCTTAGCTTTAATGATTTCTTCTGAATGATGTTCAGTGACCTTTGTTTAATTGTAATGGTAAAATATGCCTTATTGGTTACTTACTACGTAATATAATCATGAAAGGTTTGAGCCAATTGCTCCTAAATATGCAACTGTAGTTGGAAGTATAAATTAAGTCTATTAGCAATTTGGCAAGATTTGTTTTATTGCTGCTTTATATAAAATAATAAATGCTGTGTGAATATTGTACTGCAGTACCTTGCTTAGTCTAAATTGATTCGACCTTTTCCTGGATGGTTTAAAGTTGGATGTCTTTATTAGAAATAAATGTGTTTTTTTTTCGTAATTCATTCTTTATTATTTCAACGAGTCATGACATAGTTTTAACAATTCCAATAATTTTTTATAGTTGTTCAGTTAATTCTTATGCAGGCACTTAATTGTAATTGTCAAAGTTTAAGTTGTATCCTTGTTCTTTATTAGCACATTACTGACTTAATAAAACCTCTCAGAACCTCCTTGCTGCTTTATATAAAATACCTACACCATGGTATTTCATATAAAGCAGCAATAATAAATCCTTTACTGTATAAAGGAAAACAAAATGATAGTTTATATACTTAATTTGTGTATTAACTTTTTAGAATTTATTTGTTCCTCTCAAATAAGTTTACTAAGTCTGTTTAGAAATTTTTTGAAGTAGTCTTCAGTGAATCAGAACTGATTGAATCTGTATTAATTCAGGTACTGCAATATTTTATATACAAACTCAAGAAGTGGTGGTGTACACATAAGCAGTTTGATTCAGTAGTGTAATAAAAAATATGCTTGTTCAGCAAGCAAATAAATTTCAAAATGTTTAAAATCATGTTTTAAATGCAAACTGCTAACTAAATTAAAATGATTAGAATAGTTGCAGTTATATCAAGATAGCGTTGTCTTTTCATAATGTATCCAATATTTCTTAGGTAATTTCTGATTATCTACACCCTTGCTGAAAAGTTAAAAAAACATGTTCATGGCACAAGGCAGCATGTTACCATGTATGATTTGCGAGTGCACATTGCCAAATTGCATGGATGCCGAGTTTGTGCAGTTTTCTGATATTTAAGTGAAAACATGTTGTGTACATAAGAAGAACAATGTAAAAAAGAAAGATTTCTTGAAAAATTTAAGTATTTTATTATTGATATTTCTTGATTTTTAAGTTTTATTAGTTGATTGCTCTTGTATGGAATTCTGAAGTCATTGCTATTTTGAAAATGGCTGTTGCCTTTTGTGCATTAGCTTGGAAGAATTAGTTACTAATGAGTTTGCAGATTCTCTCCAGAGTCGCTAGCATGTTTGTGACTGTGGTGTGAATAATTAGATAGTACCATTTTATTTATTATGCATGTTCACATGGCCCGAACTGTAATCTAAAAATAGCATGGATCAGTAGTCATCATTTGGGAGTCATTTTTTCCCTCCCCCAAACAAATAGAAACAAAAATTTACTGTAAGCATAAATTTAAGTTTTATTGTCAAATATATTTATGAAACTATTTAAGCAAAAATTGTTTGTACTGAGAAACAGTCTATTAAAAAGTGTTTGTAAAGCACAGTGTGCGAGATGCATACTTAAGGATGTAGTAAAGTAGAATTTGTAGAATGTGTATTTTTAAATTAAAGGGTCGGATAAAATTTTTTATAAATATTAAAAAAATTATGCCCTAACATTTTATTATAATTCAGTTACAAGTTTTAAATTATAATTAGTGTAATCCCTTTTTTTATCTCTTCCGGAAATCCTCGTAAAAGGTTAAATACATGGAAGTCAGAAATCAGTGGCAATATTTGCATATTTTGCTATTAAAATGAAAGATACCCTGATTTGAAATTAAGACAGCATTAATTATAGAATGACTATGATTTTGATTTGAAAGATGTATCAAAAGCTGAAAATCATCATATATCTAAGAAAGTATTTCGGAAAGAGTAAATAGAGAAGAAATTATGGATGATTTTAATATTAATAATACAATAAACCTCAGTTAAAATTTTTGAAATTGTTAATAAAATCGAATTATATTAAAATTTCTTTCTAATGGAATTAGCAAAAACTTGTGAAAACATTTTATTCAAATTAAAGCTGTTGTCAGCTTGGGAAAAGTATAGCATTTAATTCTCTTTAGGATGAAATGCTTAAAAATGTGTTCTTTCACATAGTTAGAAATATTGTATCAAAAGCTGAAAATCATCATATACCTAAGAAAGTATTTCGGAAAGAGTAAATAGAGAAGAAATTATGGATGATTTTAATATTAATAATACAATAAACCTCAGTTAAAATTTTTGAAATTGTTAATAAAATCGAATTATATTAAAATTTCTTTCTAATGGAATTAGCAAAAACTTGTGAAAACATTTTATTCAAATTAAAGCTGTTGTCAGCTTGGGAAAAGTATAGCATTTAATTCTGTTTAGGATGAAATGCTTAAAAATGTGTTCTTTCACATAGTTAGAAATATTGTATCAAAAGCTGAAAATCATCATATACCTAAGAAAGTATTTCGGAAAGAGTAAATAGAGAAGAAATTATGGATGATTTTAATATTAATAATACAATAAACCTCAGTTAAAATTTTTGAAATTGTTAATAAAATCGAATTATATTAAAATTTCTTTCTAATGGAATTAGCAAAAACTTGTGAAAACATTTTATTCAAATTAAAGCTGTTGTCAGCTTGGGAAAAGTATAGCATTTAATTCTGTTTAGGATGAAATGCTTAAAAACGTGTTCTTTCACATAGTTAGAAATATTGTAGAAAAGAATATGTATATATACTTTTGATGTAATCACAAAATATTTACCTCTGAATATGTCAAAACCTATATATGTTAATGGCAAGTAATTAAATATTTTGATAAACAAGGAGGTGCATTACTGCTTTAAGGGAGGATCAGTTTGGGCCTTACCTTTCTTTCCTTCCCTTATGACTCATGCCATATTGTAATAATATAGTAACTGGTGTCATAACTCCTGTTTTTCAAGTTGTAAGGCAGATGACAGTTGGGGAAATGGCCCACCACTGTCCTTGATGTCTCCAGATACATCCTCGCTGGGCTTAATTTGAAGCAGGACTTGCCACTAAACATAATTACATACCAGTCCAGTCAATTACCAGGTCAAATTTGCCCAGTGCCACTGCAGATGTTCCTGGTACTGTGCAGCGGTAATGGAAAGTTGCCACAATAGCCTCTGTGACCTTGCCCCTATCCACTGATGCATCTGTCAGTGGTCATTGCAGTCACTGTTGTTCTGGATACTCATCAGATCATTGATAAGGATGCATCAGCTATGAGTGACAGTTACACAATCATTCTGTTGCCACTCTCATTGACCATCACCTATTTCACACATTCCTGCCATCATCGTGAAATGGGATCATTGTTCAGACCTGATTTGACCATTTCCTTTACTTCGATTACACATCCTTTTCCCAATGGGAGCATCTGCTCATGCTGTTCACAAACCTGTCTCTGAGGTTTGTAAACAGTTCATGTGGGTTGAAAGAAGTAACCACATTGCAACTATTAGTGATAGGTAGTGCTGGATTTAAACTTGATGAGGCCCTAAGCTATTTGAAAACTGGGGCTCTTTATAAGTCTGTTATGCTATATTTTAAATTTTGGGGGGCCCTAAACTATAGCTTGTGTAGCTTATATGTAAATCCTGCACTGGTGATAGGGAAATGGAAGTTTCATTTTTGTATAAAGCTTGTAGGATTCTCCACTGCGTAATTGTAAGTTAACGTTGAAACTGAAGAATCTTGCGGTTTTGCAGCTGAGGATAGTGATTCGGTAAAACCATCGAAACTAGTCCTGTGAAAATTTTGAAAATTAATGCTGATTTTTGTTGTTTGACTTCTGAATTAATCCCTTATTATTCAAATAAGATTTAACAGAACTCCGTCTTGGAGTTGTACAATAAAGCCGACACTTGGTCGTGAACTTAAGAAACTAAGAATTAAACTGAACTTATCTTAACTGAAGAGATGTAGCCAAAGCTATTAAGATTCTAATTTAGTTGGCCCCTTAACGCTAATTGACTGCAAAGTTATCAAGGGCCTAAAGTACGGCCGAGCGTAACTATAGCTTAAGAGAGAATAGCCTAAAAAGGCGGATGCGTGCTAACCAGAATCTCTGATATCTTTCTGTCTCAGACAGTAAAACTTCGCGGTTATATACCGGTCTTCCTCATTATTGTATTGAGACGTGATTCTAATACTACGTTCTGGCCGGAAGTGCTAAGTTGAAGTTAAGAAGCGATAGGAAAGGAAGTTTAACTCAAAATTTAACTATTAATAAAATTAACATAATCCTTACAAGCTAGCTACTGCGGAAATTTGGGGGCTCTAGACTTGAAATAGAAATTTCTCTAAGCCTACCGCTTCTTTTTTGACGCTGTGTGCGGCCATGGTTCACCCATTCCTGCCAACTTCGTCTAATAGTGGCATCGCTCCTGCTCAAATGTCGAGCTATTCGCCGATAAGACCAACCGGCTTCTTTGTGCCCAACTACATGACCTCTCTCAAATTCTGACATCTGCGCATATAGTTCGCGCACCTGTATGCAAAGCATAGTTACTGTCTACCAGAGTACACGGAATGAAATTCGTCAAGAATTTATAACCTGGAATCGTAATTTCTCCTCTTAAATATCCTGTCAATTGAGCAGATCAGATGCGCTGTAGCGACAACCGTTCTTTCATTGGCAGCCAAAATGTAAAATTTAGCATTTCCCATCAAAACCTGTATGTATATCAATTTGTGTCCAATTTGCTTTATATCTTCTCGGTGCGTCGTGGTACGTCGGTTTTTTTGTCTAAGAATGTAGTTCAAGATCGAAGGGTTATAATATGAGACTGGACTGTTTGTTATCGTTTTAAAATAAAAAAGCGAGAGCTACACATGCATTTCGTTAAAAAAAATAAAAACATATCTCTATTTTAGAAGAATAAAGTGGTCAGAAAAAAAGTTTTGTATACGGAGATGTTTGATTGATGTACTGCAAGCATAAACATTTATTACACATTTTATCAGACAAATCAAGAAAATAAATGATTAGTTATATTACAATAATTATTAATTTTAAATACATTTTTCAGAAATCGATCAAAATATAAACTGAAATTTTTCGGAAAATCTTGTTTGGAGACAATTTGGTGCCTCTCTGCGAGCGGCGCCCAGGGCATCATACACCCCCTTGCCCCCCCGTCGCTACGCCACTGACAATTCCTCTGTAACTGTCTGTGTTGTTTGCAATTACTTTAATTCTGTGTCTGTTATTTATACCCATAAAATCAAATTTGTGCTGTTGAAATAGCTGTTTAATTTTGCTCCATGTGTATTTTGTTTCTTTAAGAATAACTGGAGGCAATCTGGTGGGTTTAATAATATCAGTTTTATCTGGTTGTGTATTATTTATGTTATTTTGCACTTCGTCAATTTGATTGGTATCCATGTTTGTATTGTCTGATTTCGTGGCGTTATCTAGTGTGAGCTACCAACTTTTTTAGCTACCTGTCGATATGTTTTTGTTCTTACTGTCTGATCTCCTCACCTACATTTAGGATTTTCATCATCTTAGCCGATGGCCTTATCTAATGTAATTTAATCATATGTGACTTGTGATAGAATCTGAGTGTAGTATTATCAGACTCCTAGCTCTGTCGTTATCGTTGTAACTGTGACTGGTACAGGGAATAGATGTAACCTGATCATTTTTATCATCCTTATTTCCGTATTATTCCCGTAAAGCTTCTATCATTTCAAGTGAACTTATCAGAAAATTGTAGAACTTATTTCCAACTTCGGTGAAAGATCCATTGCTATATCTGGTGTGTTCTGGTATCTGGGAATAGTGATGTTCAACAAGCGTCTCGATGAAAAAGAAAAAATCTTGCCCGAAAAAGGCGGAGCCTACAGCCTGGAACAGGAGTCCTGGCTCAATGGCCTTCTCTGCAGACAGATGCTTAGGTGGATAGCACTTAAGGCCCCTGAGCGAGAGCTTGGGGGTAACTATAAGCGCCTTTAAAATCCAAAAATCCTCAAGATAGTTAGAAATTAAGTTAATTAAATTAATATGTTAAGTTTGCTATTCCAAACGCAAAATGGCTACTTAACTCGGCAATCAGGCGTCTTGGCAAAACCGACGCAAAGCATATATCTAACAATTATACAAAAATATAAAGAAATCAGAATAACATACTGTGAATGGCATCTACACAATTCAATAAACTACAAACTGATGAGTTAGCATTAAAAAATGCTGTTGAAATCAAACTGGTCACCTCGTGTGCCGCGTTAGTTTTAACAGGGCATATGTTGGAGAAACCAGATTTGACAGCAGTCGCAAGTCCTCGTCGAACAACATTCACAATCATGATATGCCTTAGCATTAGAATGTGCTCTGATTTATATGTTATCCAGATGCTCTGTTGCAATGTACCGGAGCTCCTGCTAGTCAATCATTGTTAATCATTTGCATATTCTATCACAGCAGTCTGCAAACTATGGCCTGTGGGATGAAATAATCTTTTTATGTGAGAAAATGAGTCAAATTACTCACTATTATGCACAGGCCAATAGTTGAGTTGAAAAGTTGTGAATCATGACTGCAGGTTTGTTCAACTGTCATATTCTTTCATTTGTCATTGTTTTTAAAAGCACTCCCAACAGGCGAATGTTTGTGCATTGTGCACCATACGAGTGTGTTGACAGTTTTGCTATAGCAGTGAGTGTGGTGTTGTCTATCAAGGTACTGTGTGCTATTTTGTTCCTTTTCATTTTATTCATTACCAACCATTACCATGACCCTCTCCAAATCAAAGAACCAAAAAGTACACCGTGAATGTTGTGCTTTTAAAAGCAGAACGGAGTGTCGGTTATTTTGTCATAGAATTAAATGACAAAGTGGTGCAGTGACATAAACATGCAGTGACATAAAAACTGTACAAAGAGAGTAAAATATACAGATTATCAAACTAAGCACGGGGCATATTATTCAAACCTCACAGAGAAAATGAACTGTCATTAAAACTGGGAAATTTAAAACAGAATGCATCATCACAACACAGTTTATTCTTAAAAATAGGAAATGATAACGAAGCATTAACTAAAGTCAGCTTATAAGGATAGCTCATTTATTAGTCACAAAAGGAAAACCATTTATCAATGGTAAATTAATCAAATCATGTTTGTTTGTGGCAGACATGAAGAAAAATGTGCCCAGAAAAAATAGGTATGTTTCGATCTGTCTGCCTTTCAGTGAGAACAGCTGTGAGAAGACTCGAGGGCATCGGGAGCCATATGAAGAGTCAATTAAAAGACAAGGCAAATAATTTCAAATGGTTTTCATTGGCTCTTGATGAGGCAACAGAAATTACGATACGACCAAATAGCTAGTGTTTATTCGAGGGGTAAATGCTAAATTTGAGGTGACTGAAGAATTGAATTCTATGAGTAGTCAGTTTAGTTCTAGTATGCTGCTTCTATGAATAGGCTGTATTGTTCTAGTATGCTGCTGTTATCAGCTCTAGCTCTGTTTTCAGCAGGAATAAGTAGTGATTCTAAATAGAGTATGCTAAAGAATTAGTTATTTAATGTTTTTTATTTCTGGATGGATATTACTTAATTATGTATCATTAGCATTTTATTTTAGCCATAAATATATATTAAGTTTTAATAATAATTTGAAGATTTTAATATTTGTGTATAGAACAATTTTTCGATATATGTATAATTTTATTTTAATTTTATTGTAATTAGGTTATTACAGAAGCCAAAAAGTGAAATGACGCCCGAAGAGTTGGCGAAGCGGGAGGAGGAAGAATTTAACACAGGTCCTCTTTCTGTGTTGACACAATCTGTAAAAAATAATACTCAAGTGTTGATAAATTGCCGAAACAATAAAAAACTTCTCGGCAGAGTGAAAGCTTTTGACAGGTATGCATTTTTAACAATTTTAAAATGTTTGTAATGCTAAAGAAATAAGATCAGAGACTATTTCTGAACTTAAGTAGATACTGGAAAGCTATAAACTCCCTAAGCAGCTCAATTAAATTAGTTTGGTCTAAATATTATTAAAAATCTGATTAGCTAAATTGATATAACTCAAAAGCAGGATTAGTATGTTTCTTCTTCCGCAGAGAAAGCCACCAAAAAGCGTTCCAGAAGATTTAAAACTAATGGTACTTTTCCGTTTCGCCGGCGCAAATCTCGCCAAGCAGACTTTGTTGGCGACAACATACAGTATACATATAAAAAATGTTAATTCTAAGAATTTTTTTTTATTTTGAAGGCATAAACATTTTAATATGGTTTAAAATTTTGTAAAAAGCCAATAAATAAAGACAATAAATTTGTAAAAAGACGTTAATTTAAGAATTTACTATGATTTCATGGTTCAAAATCCTGATTCGCCGGTTCGTATCACGTGACCCCAAGTGATCTCATCTCACGTAAACTACGCTACTAAAATCTAATTCGCTCAGTAATTATCTATATTAATTTCAAGTTAAATCTTAATTTGGAATACAAGTTTAAATGCAAGAATTATTTCAATTCGTACGAATAGCTTACTCAGAAATTATGTAAAACCGCAGTGCTTTACTTCGCTAGTGCATTCTCATTAGAATTGATGAATTTAACACTTGATTTTGCCTTCGGATGAGCGGTGTAATTGCGTTCTAATTGACTAGAACTAATTGACTTATTACCGTGAATTGCCTTAGGGGATAAAATTTAAATATCTTGTAAAAATTCTATATGCCAGTATTGAAAGAAACAATCTGATAAGAAATGGCTTCAACTTGTTTTGAAACTGAGGCGTAAAAGGTTACCAGCGAAGATATTTCGTCTGGCATCAGTTAAACCATTATTGGCGACTTTATCGTTTGCGCTGGCAAAACGGAAAAGTACCAAACTAATTTTTGAATTTATTTATATTTTTCTTATTTATTTAATTTATTTATATATTTGTTCATAGCATTGCTGTATATCACTAAATGAAATATTTTTATTTGCTGTATAATTTAACTTATCTCATTTGTGTGTTTGCAATAACTATTTCTTGGGAATATATATATATGTGCACACCTAATACACTGATGAGCCAAAACGTTATGACCATCCCCATATTTACCAATGAACTCATCTGGATGACGTGGAGGGCATGTGATTAAGTGGGAGTAAGTTTAATTGCTGCTGGAGAAGGTAAAGAATCATCCTTGTACTTACTTTCGCGAGTGATGGGAAAGGCTGCTGATCTAAGCGAATTTGATAGAAAGTAAATTTTAATGGCCCAAAGACTCAGATCAAGTTTCTCTGAAACTGCATGATTGGTAGTTTGTTCACAATCTGCCATTGTTTGTATTTATGTAAAGTGGATGTAACTGTGAAACCAGCAGTGGACACCAAGATGTTGGATGTTCATGAATCTTCAAAGAAAGAGGACATTGGAGACTGTCCTGCTTGGTACAGCAAAACCAGCACCAGACAGTGGCTCAGCTGACAGCCGACTACAACACAGGACCAAGTGCAAGTATTTTGGAACATACATTTCAACAGATACTGTTGAATGTGGGACTGCATAGCAGACATCTCACCCGTGTGCCTCTGTTGACCAAGCATCATTGTTAGCTATGCTTATAGTGGGCCCAGGAACATCGATACTGGACCATGGATAAGTGGAAGACAGTTGCCTGGTTGGATGAATCACATTTTCTCATTCATCACATTGATGATTCTGTCAGGGTATGCCGTCTTTCAAGCGAACAGTTGCTTTCTCGTGGACAGCTGGTCATACACAGGCTAGTTGCGGTATTATGCTTTGGGCATTATTCTCATGCATGGCTCTGGGACCCTTAGTTGTGGTAGAACAATTTATGTAAGCTGCGGACTATCTGAACATAATTGTGGATGAGTTGCACCCTTACATGGCATCAGTCTTCCCAAGCGGAAATGGAATTTTTCAGCAGGATAATGCTCCATATCACAAGGCTTGAATTGCGTTGTGGTTCGAAGAGCATAAGGATGACTTCCAATTGATATCATGGCCATGTAACTCGCTGGATCTTAACCTGATAGTGCATATTTGGGATGTGATGGAGCCACAGCTCGGAGCTCGAACACTACGAAGTCGGAATATCTCGACTGCGTGATTGCTGCTTGGATGGGTACATACTGTGTTGCGCAATGCGTTATTCAGTAGGTAGTTAATAATGTTTTAGCTCTTCAGTGTATGTATGTTTATATTTTTGCATGTGTATCTGCTTTCATGTCATTAAATTTAGATCGAATCTAAAATTTCAATTCATATCAAAAATATAATTTAAGAATATATATCAGAAAATTGAATTCAAAAGTGAAACTGAATGTACGCAGTGAAGAGAGAGGAAGAAAAAAAAGAAAACTTTGAGATTTACACAGTCTCGCATGCTGGAGATAAATTTTTTTTTTTCCCCCATACAGTGTTGCCAGAGCTCGTTGAATTTGTTAGTCGAAAATTCTTTAAAACTTAAAAAAATATGAAATAGTTAATAAAACAAATTCCAAATTCGGTCTTCCAGATGCCCATATTCCAGTGGAAAGGTATATTATTCAAATTTTGATGGCTCTAGGTACTGTTGTTTTATAACAATGCGAGAACACATACAGTACATTTATGCATATTCTTCATTATTTAATTTCTTTAAATATAATACAGGACTCTAATATTTGGTGGCAACAATTTGAAAAGTGAATCGACATTTAAAATGTTGAACTTAAAATGTCAAAATGAAAGTAATAGTATTGGGCCCTTTGGACTAAAAATGAGACAGTTCTATATCTTCCGTTCAATATCTCCCATTATTGATGAAATTCAACTTGCGTTTTTCATGTCTAAAAAATGCGACTTAGGATATGTATTAGATTCATATATAGCATTGTTCTAATATAGGTATTTTGATATGAAATCGGACTTTTTCTGAATGCGAATTTTTTTCCAAATTTTCGATTCTACGACTCAAATTATGCCAAATTACCAAAGTTTGCTAAAAATAGCACAAGTAGTTTGTGAAAAAAATAAATTCTCAAAATTCAACCTCCTTAATATTAATATAATTTGGCATATATATTTTAATATCTTTTTTTTTATTAAGCTTATTTGATTCTTCCTTTGACATTTTGAAATTTAGGTTTATTCCAAATAAAATTCACCCTTTTTTTATGATTTATTTTTAAAATTCTTAGTTTAAAATAATTTTTATAAATTAAAAAAAAATTTGAATTATAATCTATAAAATTTTTACCATCTTAAAGTAGATGTATTTCTAAGTATATCTGCAAAAAATTGGAGTCTTTTTATTCAAAATTTCCCAAGATATACTTGAATTTATATATTGGTATGTTTAGAAATTTGGTGTATTTATTATAAGCAGTAATAAGGAAAATGTGGTTTACACACTTTGTTAACCTTCCAGCACGCGCTTATGTGCAAAATTTACGACAAATTCAATTTTTAATGCACATTTTCGCATATCTAAGCTGAGGTGTCTGAAGGTCATTTCTGTTCCTCCTTTCTACCCTTCCCCACATCATGGAATATGCCAACAGAAAGTCATTTGACTTTTTTTTTAACTGGGCTTTTGTGCTATGTGGCAGCTTTTTCATAAAAGTTACGACACGCGTAGTGGTCATGTTTTAAAATTGGGAAAATATTTTTTTCTCAAATATTGTGTTATTAATTGTCGTGTATTATTTTAATTTGACTACATTTGGCTCTGTAAGTTTTATATCGGTTTTCATGGCAAAAAAATATGTGCAACCAGCTGATTTTGTTCGGATTCTTCAAGAATTATCTGATGAAGAAAAGGAAGACAAGGAAACCTTTGGATGGGAGAACAATAGCGATTTTCATTCCTTATTTTCTTTATTTCTATTTTTTAGAAAAAAATAAAAATATTAAAGTTAGTTTAAAGTGCGTTTTTGTAACCAGTAAGAAGAAAATTTCCTTGCGGAAGTAAATAATGCTAAACTTACCTTTTTTCCTACCAAGATGTTTTCCTTTTTTATTGTCTATACTTGTCTTTGATGAATATTAAATTAGCTTTGATTTTAAAATATAATTATTTTAAATAATAAATTTAAAATTTTCTGTAATGAAATACACCATTGCATTTCCATCTCGCTAACATAAGAACTTAAAAATAATTTATTTATATTTGAATGTGACATCATTTGTATTTTGCAATACTAAGATTAATATTTTATTTTTAACAAATTTATTATCAATATTCACTCATTTCTGTCGTTTTTCGTACCAAAAACAGTAAAATAACGGATGTCGTAAAAAATAAGATGCGCTCGTGCACATATAAAATTGCAAAACGCGACTGCTGGAAGGTTAAAATTATTTGAAAGACTGAATGATGGACCCTTTTTTGGCTCATGCACAAAGAAAAAGGGGAAAGGAAAATAGGTAGCTATAAATTAAGGAGTTTGCCAACTGAATTATTCTTCGCAAACTGAAGAAATTGTTCTAAGATAAATTTTTAAATTTTTCCATAAATTTCTCACCAAAAGTTACAAAATTTAATATCTTGGCATAATTTGAGTCATAGAATCGAATATGGAAAAAAATTGGTATTTTATTTCAGAAAAGACCGATTTTGTGTCAAAGTACCTATATTAGAACAATGCTGTATATAAATGTAATACGTATCCTATGTTGTACTTTCGAGATATGAAAAATGCAATTTGAATTTCGTCCATTGTTCCAGTAGAACAGGAGACATAGAACTGTCGTCTTTTTTTTTTTTTTTTTTTTTCAGTGTACATCCTTATAAAATCATGTAAACAGAGCATTTTTTGCAAGTAGTTGTCTGTTCTGCAGTTGTAAATGCAATAAAAGCCCGACTATCCGGCATTCAATTAACTGTAAAGTAACCAGAATATTGTAGACT